CGCTACCAGGACCCCTGCGCGCCATGCCTGCAGCCTGCGCCCGCGGGGCCTCGCAAGGCTCGCCGAAGTGGCCCGCCAGGGCCCCGCGGGCCCCCGCCGCGCGAAAAAGCAGGCGGGCGCTTGTCCGTTGCCTCCGCTCTTGGTGGTGCTGCCCGGCCAGCGGGAACGTCAGTGGCGGCGCTCCCGCGCCCGGTGAGGGATGCACCGCCGCCCTGGGCGGGGCAGTCGGCGACTGGGGTCTCGCGAGGTCGGGCCGCCCCAAGAGCCCGAATGCGAAACGCCTGAGAAAGAAAAAAAGGAGGAGGAGGAGGAGGAGGAGGAGGAGGAGGAGGAGGAGGAGGAGGAGGAGGGGAAGGAGGAGGACCAATGCAAACCCCAAACTCATCAACAATGTTGGTATACACCCTCCGTCCAAGCTCCTTTTTCCACATGCCCCATACAAAGGTTTATTTCCACTGAAATAACTACCTCGTTGGGAGACAACCGTTTGAAGACCCTGAATCATGCCAAACATCATTCTCGGGACTCGAGCGCCACGAGTCAAGTCTTGACGATCCGGAATCGTGCCAGGACGCCATTCTTGGGACTTCAACACAACGAATCAATGTAACTGTCGCGCAAGTACAATCCGGAGCCCTTCCCAAACACCATTTCTGGAACGTTGACCACTGGAATCCGTGAAACACTTGCGAATGTTCAAGACGAGTGTTCGCGGCGCTGAAGCGAAGATCACATCTTAAAAATGACCCGGCCTCAATCCGTGAAGCTCTTGCAAAGCTCTTGCACGTTATAACGAATATGTGTGGCGCGAAGGCGAGAACCACATTTTGAAAACATCCCGCCCTCAATCCGTGGAATTGTTTGTGCACTTTAAAACCAAATGCGCGCTGCGCTAAAGCGAAAACTGCATTTTGAAAACGACCCGCCCTCAATCCGTGAAGTCATTGTTGTTTGAACGGACGCGCGGGTCGCAAAAGCGAGAACAACATTTTGAAGAATGACCCGGCCTCAATCCGTGAAGCTGTTGCAATTTTAAACAAATGTTCGCGGCACCAAAGCGAGAACCACATTTAAAAAACACCCGCCCTCCATCTGTGAACTTGTTGTCAACTCCTAAGCTTCAGGGTCGTAAATTGTGAAGACGTCTCAGGCGAAACGTCCGGCCCGCCCTTTCGATCGGCCTCGGGGTGCTAAAGGGAGGAGTTACATATATAAGGAACAGGAATGAAGGAGTGAAGGTTCAAGGCTTGGCTAAATCCTGACCAGGAGGACGATGATCGAGTGTCTTGGGCGTTTTGATCCTCAGGGAACTTTTGGACCATTAGATCCAGAAGTGGTCGGTCGTGCTCCACTCCCCCGCCCACCGCTGCCCTCCAACCTCACAAAACGGGAACCCGCGCGACCCGAAGAGCCCGTACAACCAACACAACCCCGCACAACCCCACACAACAACCCTCACAGCTCGTACAGCCCGCACAGCCCGCGCAACCCTGTACAACATGCGCAATCCAAAAAACCTTCGGACCTAGGGTTGCGCAGATTATGCGGGTTGTCGAGTTGTGTGCGCGCGCGTGTGTGTGTGTGTGTGTGCGCGCGCGCATGTGTGTGTGTGTGTGTGGGTTCTGCGGTTTGTGGGCAGGGTTGCGAGGGATATGGGCTGCGCGGCTTGTGCAAGTTTCATGGGTTGTCTGTGTTGTGAGGGTGGTGCGGGGTTGTGCACTGCACGGGGTTGCGCGGGATGTGCGGGGTTGTGCGGGTTTGGGCGGGTTGTGCGGGGTCTGCAGTTTGTGTAAGGATCTGAAGGTTGCGCGGGGATACGCGGATTGTGCGTGTTGTCCAGGGTTGTGCGGTGTTGCGGGTTGCGAAGATTGTGCGGGTTTGTGGGTTGTGGGTCCTGTGGGGGGGCTGCGGGGGTTGTGCGGATTGCGTGGGTTGCGGGAGGGTGCGGGGGTTGTGCGGATTGTGGGGGCTGTGGGGGGATGTGCGGGTTGCCCGGGGTTCTGCGGGTTGGGCGGGGTGTGCCGGTGTGTGCGGGGTGCGCAGGGTGTAAGAAGGTCGGGGAGGGGGTTGCGGGGTCTGGGGGAGGTGGCAGGACAAGACGCCCACATCCTGCCACGTCTGGATCCGCAGCTTCGGAGACCGCCGCAGGCGCCCAGCGACGTTCAGAGTTCTACAGGAGACCATACCTGGGGAGACCTCTGCAGGGAGGTGGATGCAGATGCACAGGAGGGGAAAGACGAGAGGAGCAAGAAGACAAAACAAGAAGATGAGGGGGAAACGTCGGAAGAGCATGAGACGGAGGAGTACAAGGGGAACAGGGGGGGAGGACAAGGAGAGGGTGAAGAGGAAGGAGGAAGGTGTGGAGAAGGAGGCGCACATATGAGTCCACGATGTGATGGGATCATACCTCTGTCTCCCCCGCCGCCTCCCGCACCTCCTTCCTCCTCTAGACATTCGCAAAGAAAGGCCTCTAACCCTTTGTGAAGGGGCCCAAGTTAGGAGGGCCAAATACATTTGGGATAGGGGGTCTTTTCTGCAGACGTATCAAGCCAAACCGCCCAGAGTCATTACCCCTAATATGCAAAGACGGGGGCCCAAGTGAGACCACGTCTTCACCATTTGATTCGGGTGAAGGGCTTCTTCTATCCTCAATGATCCAGGTCACCTAACTTCTTCACGCCTCCTGGAGCATGGCCCAAGGCCGCGCTAACGGCGTGCTTGGTTATCGGTGCGGTTGGGGATCTGCTTGTTTGTGACACCGAACTCACGCATAACCCACCGTAGGATATCACGGAACACCGTTTTCTACATTTAGAATATGCGAATGTATCGAACGAGAACGACTCAGCGAGTTCGAGGACAACACGAACCACGCGTTCCTTTAATTGGTTCAGCCACGAACCACGCCTTCCTACAATTGGATTCCCTACTTCGCCGTTAGCTAACACACCGTTAGCGCGTCTGCGGATGGCAGCTCTCTCTGGCCCAGACCTCGGAGCGCGGTTATCTCGGCGCACCTTCGGGTGGTCTACCCTTGCGCTCCGAGCTGTGGCGCGCGGGGGGGGCGCGGCGTGAATCTCGCCGGTTCGGCCTCGAAGGCAGCCTGGCGTCACGACACTGTCGCCCAGTGCTGCGTCAGCCCGGCTTCAATCCTTCCCCACCCCCTCCCCCCGCCCATTCGGCCTGAATGGGCGTACTATAAATACTCCAATCAGAGCTCATTTTCCTATTGAACTACCCGATGTTCTGCTACGTTCTGCAATTCGCATGACCAACATGTATAATTTGCTACTGCAGAGAACCGTCGCCGCAACATGTGTTCACGACGTGTAATATTTCCTGTCCGCTCTTCTGTGGTATGTTGCCGGTCCCCCTCCTCCCACGTCCCTCCCTATGTTACCTGCCACTGGCCCCCCTCCCCCTCGCCCTCCCCTCCTCTCATTCGTCCCTTGCCAATTATCTCTTCTTCCTCCTCCCTCCTCCCTCCTTCGTCCCTCCTCTCTTCCTTCCCACCTCCACCTGCGCGCCATCCTTGTCATTCTCTCCCGCACTGCCCTTCGCTCCCTGCTGCCCCTTCTCCGCTCTACCCCGTGTCCCCCTTTTTCTCCTCCTTCTTTCTTCTCCTCCTCCTCCCCCTTCTCCTCCTCCTTGCTCCTTTCAAGCTCCTGCCTTCCTTGTCATGCGTATTTCCTACTTGTTCTTCCTCTCTTTCTTCTCCCCCTCACCTTTCTACCTCCTCCTCCTCCTCCTCCTCCTCCTCCATCTTTTCACTTTAGTCAACTGCTGCTCGTCTGACACCCAGACCTGCCGGTAGGGCGGGCCTGGCCTTTCGCCTGGGACCTCCCCTCGATGACTCCGAGATGTGGCATTTCCAACAGCTGCACACGTGGAGGGACCGTCGTCTGGAACATGTGGATCTCGCCTTAGCGCCATTTCCACTCGTCTGACACAGTCTCGACAATTACCCGGCTGGAGGGGCGGGTCACTCTGAATCTGTGGCTCTCGCCTCAGCGCCGCTCACATTCGTCTTGTACCGATTTCCAACCACCACCTGGACGGAGAGTGGGTCCTTTTCAAAATAGAACTTTCGCTTGCTACTTCCTTGGTCTGTATGACCCGAGACCTGACACTGCGCAACGGTGACGCGGAAGGAAAGTTACTCCTTGCCGTAACGTGGCTGTCTCTTGGGACTTCCATCGGCGCTACGACCATGCGTGTGAACATCTACAGCATTTGCACAGGGTGAGGGCGACTCTGTTTTAAAAGCAAGGCTCTCGCTGGACAGTTCCTTGAACTTTCAGATCCTGTCCCGTCGCCGTCCTTATATCCAGACGTATGGATGGCAACTCCATTTTAAAACAGGGCTCTCGCCTGAATTGCATGCCCATGTGTCGCCAATGTTTCAAAGGGGGACTTCCCGCAGTGACGGGGAACCTTTGCCACAGAGGCTTCTGAAGAGGGGACTTGGGACGGATGGGCAGATTGCAGCATCGTTGATGCATCTTGGATTTCCTCAGGTCCTCCTCCTCCAACTCCTCCTCCTCCACCTTGGCTTCCTGCTGCTCCTCCTCCTCCTCCTCCTCCTCCTCCTCCTCCTCCTCCCATGTGTCCTCTCTGCGCCCCCTCTTCTCCGCGCGTCGGAGGGCATAACCACAATATGCCGGGCTGCCCTTTGCGAGCCACGCCTCGCCACACACGCACACTCAATCCTCAACCTCCTTTACTGGTTCACGCATTATGGTAGTTTGCCCCGTACATGTATCGCATGTGGATGTGCAGGACGCAACCCGCTGTGTCCTCCACAGGCATGGCTGACTTTTGTGTGGTGCCGCAATCATGCGTCGGCTCAGGATCTCAGAGCCTGCCAGAATACCATACCATTCGGAGTGGCAACAACAGGACGTACCACTCACCGTCGCACATGTTCGCAGACGCGGGGAAGCCTGCACACGCTAGACACGTCGCGTGCAGTGCCCTCTCGGCTGCCTCTCGGCGAGGCTTCAGTGCGTCTTCAACTTCTTGAGCACCTTGCTGTACACAAAGGCAGCGGCACTGTAGACAAAGTTCGCTGCGTGCACGATCATGCTCAAGAGCCCGCCGACGTGTCCCCACAGAACGTGTTGAGGCGTGGTGGCTGCCGAGTGCTGCCTGGTAGGGTTCCTGTAGACAATCTCCAGGGCCACGCCAACGGCGATGTTGCTCAACGGTGATGCTGGAGACCGAACTGTAGGAACTCACGAACCACACTTTCCTACAGTTCCGAGCTGCGGATGTATCGAACGAAAAGCGACGCAGCGAACTGCAGGAAAGCGCGAGCCGCGCGTTCCCACGATACCGAAGCCCTGCATCGCCGTCGCCCTGCATCGCCGCTCGCGCGCCTGCGGAGTCTTCCAAGATCTCCCCCCGTCTCCTCACGCAGCGGGCAATGCGTGCCCCCCCCCCCCCCTCCCCCCGAACCTTCCTGGCCGCCCGGGGTGCACCCCTGGGGCGGTCCAGGCCCCTCCCAGGGCCAGGGATTGCCAGGGAGGCCACCAGGGCCGCCAGGATGGCCCATGATTGCCTCCCTCGGGAAGCAGCCCACACCCCCCTCCAAGCCAAAAAAAACACGATCGACCCACGAACCCGGCAAGGAATATAGAAATGTAACGCATGGCAACGTTTTCAAAGACACCTGTTTGGGTAACGGGCAAATGCAATGCTGATTGTATCGATCTTGATGTACCGTGCCGAGTGCTGTGCTGTGCTACACCGTGCTGAATTGTGATGTGCCATGCCGAGGTTGTGCTCTGTAGCGTCGTGGATCGAGTCTTCCTTTGCATCCGAGTCCTGACCGAACTGATCTGGATCTTAAGCTCGAGCTGCCCGAACACATAGTAGCTGCCCCAGAGTTATTGACAGGGGGACATGCCAGGAGGACGCGCCGCGAAACGTCCCAAGGGACGCGCCAAGCGACGTGCCAGGGGACGTGCCATGGGGTCGCACCGCGGGGCGTGCCAAGGGGACGCGCTACGGAACGTGCCAATGGATGTGCCACGGAATGTGCCAGGGGACGCCACGCGACGTGCCAGGGGGACTCGCCAAGGGACGCCCTACGGAACGTGCCAAGGAACGTGCCAGGTTGCAATGCTGAGTGTATCGATCTTGATGTACCGTGCCGAAGTCTGTGCTGTGCTGCACCGTGCTGAATTGCGATGTGCCATGCCGAGGTTGTGCTCTATAGCGTTGTGGATCGAGTCCTCCTTTGCATCCGAGTCCTGACCGAACTGATCTGGATCTTAAGCTCGAGCTGCCTGAACACACAGTATCTGCCGCAGAGCTAATTGACATGGGGGACATGCCAGGAGGACGCGCCGCGAAACGTCTCAAGGGACGCGCCAAGCGACATGCCAAGGGACGTGCCATGGGGACGCACCGCGGGACGTACCAAGGGGACGCGCTACGGAACGTGCTGGGGACAAGCGTTTCGCTCGAGACATCCTGTAAACATCCTCATTCTAGACATCCGCCTGAGCGACCTGGACACGTGAAAACAAACGTTTCGCTCAACACATCCTCAACACATTCTCATGCTAGACATCCGCCTGGGCGAACTGGACACGTGAAAACAAGTAGCTCGCTCGAGACATCCTCAACACATCTTCATGTGAGACGTCCGCCTGGGTGACCTGGGCACGTGAAAACAAGCGTTTCGCTCGAGACGTTTTCAACACCTCCTCATTCTAGACATCCGCCTTGGCGACCTGTACACGTGAAAGCAAACGTCTCGCTCGAGACATCCTCAACACATCTTCATGTTAGACATCCGCCTGGGCGACCTGGACACGTGAAACAAGCGTATCTCTCGAGACATTCTCAACACATCCTCATGCTAGGCATCCGCCTGGGCAACCTGGACACGTGCAAACAAGCATCTCGATCGAGACTTCCTCAACACCTCCTCATTCTAGACATCCGCCTGGGCGACGAGGACGCGTGAAACCAAGCGTCTCGCTCGAGACATCCTCAACAAATCCTGGCGCTTACCTCTGCCTGGGCAACCTGGAGGCGTGAAACCAAGCGTCTCGCTCGAGACATCCTCAAGACCTGGGCACGTGAAACCAAGCATTTCACTTGAGAGATCCTCTAAATTCTGGTCCCCAGGAGAAGACAATCTATAACACAAAACAAGCTTCTCGCTCGAGACATCATCAACCAATTCTGAAAAACAAGCGTTTCGCTAGGGAGATCCTCAAATTTTGATTCGCCGGCCCTACGCGACCTCGTTATTTATCGCAAAAGAAATTTGCCGGCCCTACAGCCGTCAGATCCGGGGGTAAACCTCTAAAAGAGAATCCTGGGCCTCAGCCCTTTCCGGGAACACGGTCGACCCGCGAACCCGGAAAGGAATATAGAAATGTAACGCATGGCAACGCTTTCAAAGACAACTGACTGGGTGACGGGCAAATGCAATGCTGAGTGTATCGATCTTGATGTACCGTGCCGAAGTCTGTGCTGTGCTGCACCGTGCTGAATTGCGATGTGCCATGCCGAGGTTGTGCTCTATAGCGTTGTGGATCGAGTCCTCCTTTGCATCCGAGTCCTGACCGAACTGATCTGGATCTTAAGCTCGAGCTGCCTGAACACATAGTAGCTGCCCCAGAGCTAATTGACAGGGGAGCATGCCAGGAGGACGCGCCGCGGAACGTCCCCAGGGACGCGCCAGGCGACGTGCCAGGGGACGTGCCATGGGGTCGCACCGCGGGACGTGCCAAAGGGACGCGCTACGGAACGTGCCAATGGATGTGCCACGGGATGTGCCAGGGGACGCGCCACGCGACGTGCCGGGGGGACTCGCTAAGGGACGCCCCACCACGGAACGTGCCAAGGAACGTGCCAGGTTGCAATGCTGATTGTTATCGATCTTGATGTACCGTGCCGAAGTCTGTGCTGTGCTGCGCCGTGCTGAATTGCGATGCGCCACGCTGCGATTGTGCTCTATAGCGTCGTGGATCGAGTCCTCCTTTGCATCCGAGTCCTGACCGAACTGATCTGGATCTTAAGCTGGAGCTGCCTGAACACATAGTAGCTGCCCCAGAGCTAATTGACAGGGAGACGTGCCAGGAGGACGCGCCGCGAAACGTCCAAAGGGACGCGCCAGGCGACGTGCCAGGGGACGTGCCATGGGGTCGCACCGCGGGACGTGCCAAGGGAACGCGCTACGGAACGTGCTGGGGACAAGCGTTTCGCTCGAGACATCCTGTAAACATCCTCATGCTAGACATCCGCCTGAGCGACCTGAACACGTGAAAATAAGCGCTTCGCTCCACACATTCTCAACACATTCTCATGCTAGACATCCGCCTGGGCGAACTGGACACGTGAAAACAAGTGGTTCGCTCGAGACATCCTCAACACATCTTCATGTGAGACGTCCGCATGGGTGACCTGGGCACGTGAAAGCAAGCGCTTCGCTCGAGACGTTTTCAACACCTCCTCATTCTAGACATCCGCCTTGGCGACCTGTACACGTGAAAGCAAACGTCTCGCTCGGGACATCCTCAACACATCTTCATGCTGGACATCCGCCTGGGCGACCTGGACACGTGAAAACAAGCGTATCTCTCGAGACATTCTCAACACATCCTCATGCTAGGCATCCGCCTGGGCAACCTGGACACGTGCAAACAAGCGTTTTTCTCGATCGAGACTTCCTCGACACATTCTCATGCTAGACATCCGCCTGGGCGACCTGGACACGTGAAAACAAGCCTCTGGTTCGAGACATCCTCAACAAATCCTCATGCTATACATCTGTCTGGGCCACCTGGAGGCGTGAAACCAAGCGTCTCGCTCGAGACATCCTCAAGACCTGGCACGTGAAAACAAGCAATCCACTTGAGAGATCCTCAGAATTCAGGTCCCCAGGAGAGGACAATCTATAACACAATACAAGCGTTTCGCTCGAGACATCCTCAACAAATTCTGACAAACAAGCGTTTCGCTCGAGACATCCTCAAATTTTGATTCGCCGGCCCTTGGCGACCTCGTTAGTCATCGCAAAAGAAATTCGCCGGCCCATCTCCGGGGGTAAACCTCTAAAAGAGAACCCTGGGCCTACGCCCTTTCCGGGAACATGATCGACCCACGAACCCGGCAAGGAATATAGAAATGTAACGCATGGCAGCGTTTTCAAAGACACCTGATTGGGTGACGGGCACATGCAATGCTGATTGTATCGATCTTGATGTACCGTGCCGAGGGCTGTGCTGTGCTACACCGTGCTGAATTGCGATGTTCCATGCCGCGGTTGTGCTCTATAGCGTCGTGGATCGAGTCTTCCTTTGCATCCGAGTCCTGACCGAACTGATCTGGATCTTAAGCTCGAGCTGCCTGAACACATAGTAGCTGCCCCAGAGCTAATTGACAGGGGGACATGCCAGGAGGACGAGCAGCGAAACGTCCCAAGGGACGCCCCAAGCGACGTGCCAGGGGACGTGCCATGGGGTCGCACCGTAGGACGTGCCAAGGGGACGAGCTACGGAACGTGCCAATGGATGTGCCACGGAATGTGCCAGGGGACGCGCCACGCGACGTGCCAGGGGGACTCGCCAAGGGACGCCCCACGGAACGTGCCAAGGAACGTGCCAGGTTGCAATGCTGATTGTATCGATCTTGATGTACCGTGCCGAAGTCTGTGCTGTGCTGCACCGTGCTGAATTGCGATGTGCCATGCCGCGGTTGTGCTCTATAGCGTCGTGGATCGAGTCCTCCTTTGCATCCGAGTCCTGACCGAACTGATCTGGATCTTAAGCTCGAGCTGCCTGAACACATAGTATCTGCCGCAGAGCTAATTGACAGGGGGACATGCCAGGAGGACGCGCCGCGGAACGTCTCAAGGGACGCGCCAGGCGACATGCCAGGGGACGTGCCATGGGGACGCACCGCGGGACGTGCCAAGGGGACGCGCTACGGAACGTGCTGGGGACAAGCGTTTCGCTCGAGACATCCTGTCAACATCCTCATTCTAGACATCCGCCTGAGCGACCTGGACACGTGAAAACAAGCGTTTCGCTCCACACATCCTCAACACATTCTCATGCTAGACATCCGCCTGGGCGAACTGGACACGTGAAAACAAGTAGTTCGCTCGAGACATCTTCAACACATCTTCATGTAAGACGTCCGCCTGGGTGACCTGGGCACGTGAAAACAAGCGTTTCGCTCGAGAGGTTTTCAACACCTGCTCATTCTAGACATCCGCCTTGGCGACCTGTACACGTGAAAGCAAACGTCTCGTTCGAGACATCCTCAATACATCTTCATGTTGGACATCCGCCTGGGCGACCTGGACACGTGAAAACAAGCGTAACTCTCGAGACATTTTCAACACATTCTCAACACATCCTCATGCTAGGCATCCGCCTGGGCAACCTGGACACGTGCAAACAAGCGTTTTTCTCGATCGAGACTTCCTCGACACATCCTCATGCTAGACATCCGCCTGGGCGACCTGGACACGTGAAAACAAGCCTCTGGTTCGAGACATCCTCAACAAATCCTCATGCTATACATCTGTCTGGGCCACCTGGAGGCGTGAAACCAAGCGTCTCGCTCGAGACATCCTCAAGACCTGGGCACGTGAAAACAAGCAATCCACTTGAGAGATCCTCAGAATTCAGGTCCCCAGGAAAGGACAATCTATAAAACAATACAAGCGTTTCGCTCGAGACATCCTCAACAAATTCTGAACAACAAACGTTTCGCTCGAAACATCCTCAAATTTTGATTCGCCGGCCCTTGGCGACCTCGTTAGTTATCGCAAAAGAAATTCGCCGGCCCATCTCCTGGGGTAAACCTCTAAAAGAGAACCCTGGGCCTACGCCCTTTCCGGGAAAAAAGCAGGAGCGCAAAGGGAGCCCCAGAGGCTTCCAACACACCGAAGAGATCCAAAGAGAGATCCGAGAGGCTTTCCAAGATAACCAAAATCATTACAAACCTATGTTTTGCCTTTGGCTTTCGACTATTTTCTTGGGGGGGGGGTCCCAGGTCTGTCGACTCGACATGGTTCTAAGGGGGCCAACGGTTGGCCAAAGAGATGCCGAAAGAGCCCAATGAGGGGGCCCAAGAGGTCCCCCACGACGGTCCAGGACAGCCCCAAGAAGGACCTAAGACGGCCAAAGAGAGGCACAGGACAGCCAAGGAGGACCCCAAGATTGCCCAAGAGGGCCCCGAGACCCAAGGCAGCCCCACGAGTCCCCCCCCCACACGGCCGAGAGGTGCCCAGGCATATTACAGCATTCTGGGCGGTGCTCCAAGCATCGCCGCACGGAGTGTTGATTTAGCACGATGGCGGACTCTGCCACAGGCAGTGGGATAAGACGGAACACCACATGTATGGCGACCACGGTGCCCCGCTTGCCAAGATGAGGGGCACGCTGAACGCGCTGAGGTATAATGAGATAAACAAGATGAAGACGTGGGATCCAAACAAGCCTCCGAGTGGCTTGCCCAGAGCCGCCCTTGCGGCCGATATGCTGGAATCGATGCGCCCTCCGATGAAAGGAACAATGCCGTAGTCGCCCTCGGCCCCCGTCATCACAGAAGCGAGGGCAGCCAGCGCAGCGTGCAGCCCGAGGGCCAATCCCCAGGGCACCCTGCCTGTATTGGTGTGGTAGTACACGTCGGCCGCGAACAGGGCCGCCTGCCACCCGGTGCAGGCGCAGATGCAGCTCCGGAACCTCAGAGGCCGCGCCTCAGCGCCGCCCGCCGCCGGCACCGCCCTGGCGACCGCCGCCTCCTCGGCAGGCTTGGCATCCGAGGCGGGCTTGGCGGACGGCGCAACGGCCGACGGCGCAGGAGCGGGCGGCTGCGCAGCGGCAGGTCGCGGCCCAACGCTCTGGGCGCGCGATGTGGCGGGCATGCCTCGGGGCGGGAAGGAGGGGCAGCAGAGGCTGGGGAATCCGCCGCCGGGGGCACACGACTGGCCCGGGTCTGTGCAAACCCGGGCTCGTCAGGCCTTGCAGGATCCTGCAAGATCCTGCGCGCAAGCCCAGGTCAGTGCACCCGTAGCTCTGCAGGATCCTGAAGGATCCGGCGCTCTGGCGGAACCCCGTTTGCATTGACCCCCGTCTCAAGGCTCCCGAAGCTGCATGCACGCGGCTCTCCTGGCGCCTCCAGGGCGCCTGTTCGTGCATCGAGGAACGTGCCCAGCGGAGGGGCCGACACCAGCTGCATGCAGCAGATTTCCAAATCACGCCCTTCCCCATCCTCCCCTTCGCCCCGCCCGATGGTGAAGCGAGGGCAGCGGCGATCTCTGGCTCTCCTGCCCTCCTCGTCTGCCAGAGGTGAGCATGAGCCTCGGAACCGTAACGGCCGTGGCCCCGCCGGCGGCAACAGATTCATGAACGGACGCCACGGGTCTCGAGAAGCTGACAAGGCCACTGAGGACCTCCCCGTCAGAAACACGCACTCAGACCTCCGAGGTCGTGGTGTTGTGTTTTGTTACCAGAGCCGCTTGTCCGTCAGGACTGTGCATTTGGCTCGTAAGAGGGGCCGGGGGGCCGCTGCCAGTCCCGGAATCGGTGATTTGATTGTCTCCCGTTTGGTCTCACTGGGGGCGCCGTTGCCCACCATGGGATGTGTGGCCTGGTGATTTCTGGCATGGCCTCCAGCGAATCGTCACTCCACCTGGTCCCCCCTTAGGGTCTCCCGTATGGTCTCCCGCGTAGTCTCACGGATGGTCTCCCGCATGGTCTACACTACGGTATCCTGTATGGCTTCCGTATGGTCTCCCGCATGGTCTCCCGCAGGATCCCCCGTAGGATCTCCAGTCTGGTTTCCAATATGGCCTTTCGCACGGTCGCTCGTAGGGAGGTCCCCCGTGTGTGCAGACAGTAGAGCACCCGCCACTGCAACGCTGGGCACGGAGTGGGCGTGCCATCGGGTCCCGACCCCGGATTGCCAACTCTCTCGGGGCTTCCCGCGTGCCCCCTGGGGCTTCTCGAGCCAAGAGGGCCCCAAGACGGCCCGAAGACGGCCTCCAAGACGGCCTGCAAGAGGCCTCCAAGAGGCCTCCCAAGAGGGCCCTAAGAGGCAACAATCATCGATTTCCTTTGGTTTGGAGAGATGTTGGCGTTCTCGCCTATTCTGTTTCCGACGCTCCAAGATGGCCCAAGAGGCTCCCAAGTCCACCCCAAGACGGCCCAAGAGGCCTCCCAGAGGCCCCCGGAACTGCTTAAGAGCGCCCCAAGACGGCCTAAGAGGAACCCAAGACGGCTACAAGACGGCCCCACACGGGGCCCACGAGAATGAACACGAACCGACAATCCGGGCCTTCCGCCACAAGAGGTCCCCATGAGGCTCCAAGAGGCGCCCAAGAGGCCCCAAGAGACCCCCAAGAGGGCCTCCAAGAGACCCCAAGAGAGGCCCAAACGAGGCTCCAAGTGGCCCCCAACCGGTCCCAACACGGCCCCCAAGAGGCGACAGAACTGCCTCCAAGAAGCCCCCTAGAGGCTCCCACGAGATCCCAAGGAACATCCAATAGGCTGCAGAACCACAACCCAGGCACAATGGCGGGATGGGCAGAGGACCATTCGACAATGCTCTCCCTGATATTCTTAATTATGCCGTTTAGGGTCTTCTGCCACCAGTATGTACGTAATTCAAGACGTGGGTCCCAAAGAACTCTCGGCCCCACCACACCCTGGATGGTTTCTCGCACTGAATTCCGACGAATCCCAAACCAACAGAAATCAGCCCCAGGGGATCAACACAACTATCAAACACGCTTCTTGATGTTTCGCGACGCCTGGAGGCCCAGAAACGCCCATGCAACTACTGGGAGGACGCTTACGTCTTTCACCTCCAAGACAGCAGGTGAAACTCTCGACCTGACAACGCGCCCTCATTTCCGTTCAGCTGCGCTCTGTCAGGTCTGGTGGCTTCTGTCATGGAGGGGGAGGGCGAGGCAGAGGACGACGAGCAGGGGAGGAAAGGCAGGAGAACCAGGAGCGACACGAGGAGTAGGAGGATCAGGACGTCCCCTCCTACCCACGCCAGAAGCATCCCAAGGGGGGCTCGGATTTCACCGCTCCCACCTCCCCCGCTGTCCCTCCCACTCCCGCAGCCCCTCTCCTCCCTCCCCTGCCTTTCCCGCGCCTCCCTGCGAGGGGAACGAAGGGGGGCTGCCAACGACCGTGTCATCGCACGCGCGCCCCGCATGCGTTCCGCGCACGTGACGGGGTCCCTCTCTCTGGTATATCTAGATATGACCTGTATGTCCATATGTATGTCCTTGTACACATACGTATACACAGCTATAGGTACATGTGGTAGCCCCCCACGCCCCACAGGGATCCCTCCTTCACACATGCGAGCAAGCCCGAGAGCTTTTAACTCAGACGCTTGTTTAAATGTTGATATAGATATCGATGCTATGTTGTTGCACGGTCGTCGGCAATGGAGAACACTAAGGACGCTATGCACTTTAAACAAGAGCCGTGGGCTTGTCATAACATTGTTGATGCAAATGTTACTCTAGATGCTGATGCCGATGTCGACTGATGTAGATGCTGCTGTAGACGTCGGGTGTTCTGTTGGGCTCTCGGCGGATTTGGCATCGACGCCGTTCGAACTGTTACTACTGTTTCCTATGGATTCCGATTGCTTCATATTGGTTACACATGATCCCTACTGGTTCGTTTTGATTCCTCGTGATTCCTGTTCGTCGCTCTTGGTTACTACTGATTCCTGCTAACTCTAAGTTGCCCTTGTGGGCTCCTGTTAATTCCTACTGGTTCCGATTGACTCCTATCGATTCTAATCGATCATCTTAATGTTTAACGATCCCTACTGGCTCTTATGTATTCCTATTGATTACAAACGATTCTTATTGGTTCCGAGTGAGTCATATTGACTCCGATTGATTTCTAGCGATTCCTATTCATTTCCGATTGAGCCCTACCGATTCCTCATCTTTTTATCGCTTGAAGGTAAGGGAGAGAGGGATACATACATATATATATATATATATATATATATATATTGAGAGAGATATACAACGATATAAAGAATCAACAAAGAAATTAGAGAGAGAGATAACAAGAGAGAGAGAGAGAAAGCGAGAGACCAGGGCGGAGGAGGATGGGGGCCTTGTTTCGTTCGAAGTGTCTTACTTTTTTGAACGAGTAACGAGGATCATTTTTTCCCGAAATGCCAGTGGGCCAATTTCCTTAAAGTTGGGCCACGGATTTTGTGACACTGCCCAATAACAGGAATCAGCAAATCGAGCAACAACCAAAAAACAATGATATACAAAAACACGATGCAATCAAAGGTTCACGGGGTCCGAGACGGGAGGTGTGGAGGGGGCGGGCCGAGGAGGGACTGGTCTTTGGAATGACAGTCGCAGGTTGCCAAAACGTTGGACCACGAAGTCTATGACAAAAAACAAAAACAGAGGAGGAGGAGGAGGAGGAGAAGGAGGAGGAGGGATCCTCGATCTTCTCTCCTCCCCATGCCTCCCCTCCCCTCCCCTGGCTGCCTGCGCCTCCCCTGCCCCCTTTCCCCGCCCTCGCTGGCCTCCCCCGGGCCCCCGGGCGGGGGGCCGCCGGTCGCGCCGATCAGTCGGCCCCCCCTCCCCCTCCTCCTCCTTCTCCTCCTCCCCCTCCTCCTCCTAACCTGTGGGCCGTGACACTACCCAAAAACCAAAAAAAACAAAAAACAAAACAATCCGTGAGACTACCAAACCACCCAAGCATTCAAGGCTTTCAGGATCCGAGGCGGGAGGCGGGGGACGGGCGGGCCGAGGAGGGACTGGTTCTTGAATGACAGTGGCAGTTTACCGTAAATGTTGGGCCACGAAGCCTGTCACACGACCAAACAAGAAAAAAACAACCAAACATAAAGCAAAGCAACATGTGGGACTACCACAAAAACATCAATCACAACTTTTCAAAATCCGAGGCGGGAGAGTCCGGCAATAGTCTGGCCCTCCTTCCCCCCACCCCCCACCTCGGATCCCGATCACGAAAATGTTGGATTTTCTTTATACTCTCACCAGGTGTTTCGTTTATTGTTTTTGTTCCCCACATCCTAAATTGGGCTCTTGTTTTCCCTGGACACCCCGCACAAGGACAGGAACAGGAACTCACCATCATCATCATCATCATCATCATCATCATCATCAGCAGCAGCAGCAGCAGCAGCAGCATCATCACCATCATCATACCCTCTGTCATTTACTCGCATACGCACACATTCACACATTCATCATCGTCATCATCAGTGTCTTCATCATCACTCAGTCCCTCACTCACTAGCTCACCCACTCATCGTCCTCACCATCATCGACATTACTCCAACACTCATTCACACTCACACACTAACACGCTCACACAGTCCCACACTCATACATTCATCTCGAGGGAGTCTAAGGCGGGAGCCTCGTCGTGTGTGAATTGTGAGGAAGTCACCCAATGGAGCCCGCGCTTCATGTTGGTAATCCGAGCGGGTCATCAAAATCCCGTGGCTGTCGCTATTTTTGGGCCCCTCGCGCCTGGATTTTGAAGACGCCTGAGGCGGGAACCTCGTATGTGAATGGTTTTCGATGGAGTCTTAGGCGGGACCCCTCCCTAAGGAGCCCGCGCTTCTTCATGTTGGTAATCCGAGCGAGTCATCAACATCCAGTAGCTGTCGTAATGTTTGGGCCCCTAGCCCCTGGATATTGAAGACGCCTGAGGCGGGAACCTTGTATGTGAATGGTTTTCGATGGAGCCTCATACGGGAACCCCCATCCCGATGAAACCCGCGCTTCATGTTGGTAATCCGTGCGGGTCATTAAAACCCTGTGGCTGTCGCTATTTTTAGACCCGTCACGCCTGAATGCTGCGTTTGTGAAGTGAGGAAGTCTCAGGCGAGAGC